TAGTTTTTTCAATGATGTATCACAAGTAGGGGTTTGTAATTTAAACTTTTTGTGTTTTGGTTGGGGGGGCCTAGGAGGTTGATGGGGGTGAGTTCTCTTTCATGTCACTTAAGTTCCCCTTTACTATCCTAGAAACGGTTTCAAGCATTTTTCGATATCAGCTTTCGTTCGTGAGATATAGCCCATTGTAAGTTTTAAAATTGACACACTGTATATGTCGTTACTGCAGTTTCTTCCTATAAGAACATTTTCAAATGAATACAATAAACTTTGAAAATGTCCTTAAAGGACGAAACTGCAGTAACGATAGTTACAAATTGAAGTGGTATAAAAACATCCAAAGTTTTATTTCTCATTCTTCATGATGATCTCCTGCCACATAGTCTACATCCATCAATTTAACTAATACCGTTTCTTGGGTCATTCAATAAACTGGTGTTCAGGAAACGGGAAAATTCATGCGTAATGCCAAATCAAATTGTTGGTATGCCAATAGATGGCTCTCGTTCAATATTAAGTGGTTTGAAAAGGTTCAAAATAATGATTCATCAGGATTGGAATATTTTCAAGAAAGGAGCAGTGTTACGAATGGGTGTTTATGGCAATTGCTGTTTACGTAACAGACCGCATACGAGTATTATGATGAGGAATTTGTTGGGGTCATTTCATATCATTATTTTTAAATTGTGAAGAACATCCGATTCATATAAGGGAGCATTATTAAACAAACTTTAAACAAAAAATTCCTTCGGGAAATGATAAAGAAACAATTTCACTAATTCAATATGATTGATATCAATGATTCGTGTGTGATATTGAAGTTCATTTGTATAATTCAGTTTGAAGAGTTGAATCTTCTGAGAAATGAAGTTAAAATCCATAGCAGTATATTTTCTGTACAGTACTTTTTCAACAGTACTTTCAAAAGTACTTCAATAGTACTTTTTTTCAAAACCACTGGTTAATTTACGACAATTTCAGTTCGTTCGTGTACGTTACATATAAAAAAATGTGTTAATGTTTCAGATATGCAGATACAGAAATTGGGGGAACGCGCAGGCACTGAATCCAACAAATCGCTCGAACAAAGTGAGAAAAAATTAAAAAAAGACACTCCCTCGAAAGAAATTATGATTGTAGATGATGAAGATACTATTTCACAGACGAATAACGGCGACCCTCAAGGTAGGGATTTGAATCAAAACTTTATCGATCTGGAAAATAAAGCAGACGATATTGTTACCGTTTCTGAAGCCGAAAGTGAAACAAATTCACGCTCCACAACGTCAGTTAGACATATGCCGGTCATCGAGGACATTTCCTCGGACGACGAGCCCGTTCGGCCAGTTGAATCTTTGAAAAATTATGGTCGCATGAAAGATGCCAGCACGATTATGGAGTCAAACCGCATAACAGAAGCCATTCCTACGGATCCGATGGGCCATAGACCGGTCATAACTTACACCCATGCAAGACCGATACCAGGTGTAGAATCGATGACAGAAGCGACCAAATTGAACAAAACCTCTCCGGATTTTCCACAGAAAAAAGTCCCTCACTCTAAAGTATCTCATGGTTACAGATCACCGCGAGAAATGGGCCCTTCACCCCATGTAGAGGTCACATCTCCAGTGATAGCTCAATCTCCCGTTGTTTCTATTTCTTCACCTGCTGCTCACTGCAAACCTGGAATGAACTGGCAAGCTTGGTTATCCGATGAGCAAAGGAGGGGCTTTTTTGATTTCGAACAAAACCGCAGCAGAAGCAGAAGACAGTCGGTGGAAACCATAAGCAGCGTTGGTAGTGACTACATACCTAAGGTTATGCCCGAACAGGACCTGGTAGAAATCAAAGTGAACTCGAAGTGGTACAGAATAAAAAAATCGCTCTACGATAAAATACCCAGAGGAAAATTGCGCTATATCCGAGAAACGACAACTTTTATTAGGTACTTCGATGAAAACCAGTTGGCGCAGTTTATACAAAATGTCAATTGTAACACCGATACTTCGAACTTTCTGAAAGCCGAGTGTCATATAGAACGAAATAATAATCTCGATACGTATTTAGGAGGTTTGGAACAAAATGAAGTCATAAGATTATCGGAGGACCCCGATTTTTCAAGAGAAGATTTTATCGCTGAACCAGTACTTTACGTGAAGGAAGTTACGAATGCGCTAAAGTACTCTCCGAAGGATTTTTCACACTTTTATAAATTCGTTACTGGATACCAAATTATTAACAATCACCCGCCAATTTCCTTTCAAACATTTTTAACTTTTCACAACACTGACAGTATGAAATATCTTTTTAATCAGTATGTCAATAATCTATTGGGGCAAAGCAATGCGCCTAAAAGTAGTCAGAAACTGGTATTACCCAGTTGAGAATAATAATCAATCAGGAACATGTCGAATTAGTGTTTTTAGTTTGTAATACTCAGCACACGTCAAAAGATCGAATTGAATGAGAAGGTAAACATGATGACATTAAAATTTCAAAATAGACAGCAGAATAGTATACCTAACAAGACTTCAAGAACTCCAGTAAGTACTGCTGTTTGTAGATGTTGAAAAAACATTTTTTGCAAAATCAAGTACTCAAAGTTTGATTACCGCGGTAGCAGACGAAACGTCTGGTACTGCAGATTCCATATTATTTTGTACACTAAAACTTTAACAACGTGCTTCACTTTTCACGTTTTAATAACAGTTGAAGCATGCGACTAATGTGAACAAAAATCGTAAATCATGGAGTATTTCAAAGAAAAAAAATGTATGTTATTCATGTATACATCGGCCTAGCCGACTCAGGAAACATATGAGCAACATGGGTCTAACAGAAGAACCCCAATGCAGGTTCTGTCAAGAAGAGGAAGAAACCGCACTGCATATGCTCTGTGAATGCGAAGCGATAGCAAGGCTGAGACACGCAAGATGCGAGGAAGAGAAACCAGAGGCTGCCAGTTATATGAAAGGGTCAGTGTCAAGGCTATGGAATCTCATCAAAGAGATCAAGCTAGGCAATGGGCTCTAACAACCAAGGAGCATCACAATAGTCTGAAAAGTTCGCAGTGAATCGGGTCATGGGCTAGCTCCTCGGCAATCTAATCTAATGTATACAAAAGTGTTAAAAATAAAATCTTAACTCCTTCCACTGTCGTCTTTGGCAAAGTGACGATAGAAACTTTACTTTACGGATGGATCAAGTTCCAAGCCAAACTTGTTTCCATTATTTTGTGCTGTGATTTTTTTTATTTTTAAAGTCATTAGGTTACACTCACCCAGGGTGAGTGAGCAAGTAGAATTCATGACACTTAAAGCAAAATACAATTCGCTCAGGTGAGTGGAAATGCTTACAGTGCGGAAAAGATTGATTCAAAAACTAAAACCATAATTCAACCGACATTACAAAAGTCTAATATAACACTGAACACTATTCTTCTTCTCCTATCCATGGTAGGCATGAAAAGTTCACATTCGTTGATAATGCTTTCATCTTCAACATAAGGCCAATGAAATATGGAGTTTCTGCCAATTCTTTACAAAATTTGACTTCTATACTCTGTCCTTCTGTAAAAAACATTATCATGCATAGTGCACGTGATCTTCCAGACAAGGCTGCTTGTACAGAGTCGCACTAAGGAAGGACCGACATTTTATTTTTATTTTTTTTAACAATATGCGGCTGGGTATAGGACTTTTTTTGTATGTGTAACAGTTTATCCAGCCGTATTAATTCTTGACATTTTAAAAATTTCATACTTGTACACACCACAGGCGTTAAAACGTAACTGACCACTCCGACAGTGTAATAATAAATTCCGCCAGCCGATTGCAGTTGAATCTGATTAGCCAGCGTGAGGAGGCTTGTTTATTTTACCCAATAGATGCAGATGTGCTTGGTGATCATGCTTTAATCACGCATCTATCTTTGTTTGGGATAGTTCTTTGTTGGCTGGATATATTTTAGGCACGGGTAAGTTGAGATATGTACATTTTAATATGTTTCTTCTGATCGAACTCAACAACCAATCAATCACTTATATTTATTTTCGACAGATCTAGCAGTTAATTAATTTCTAACAGAATTCCTTTCCCATATTGAATATAGCCGCTTGAACTGCTTTCAATATCTTCAAGACTAGTATAGTCACCGCTGTTCTCTCCAACTAATAGTATCATTTTTCTTGCTTTCTTCTCCCATATCCCTTTGCTACCATCTTCATCCTCTGTTTTGATTCTGCATCTCCCTCAAATGTAGTAAGGTTTCGTTATTTACTTCGCCTTCTGTAATTTTCTTTTTTTGGTTTGTTAGACCTTTACTACCATGTTTTGAGGTATTCACTCTACATATTTCCTTTCTCAAAGTTAAAGTTTTTGGAATTTCTTGTTGTAAAAACAATTCTTCAAAACTTTTATTATATTATGAGAATTATAAGGTTTGGCTGGTAAGCCTTGATCGAATGGAACTTGGAGTGTTAGTCGCTGCTGAGACTTCAAGATATAACCTTCGTCCTCACAGTCAACGCACATATCCCTGATGATGACTGCCGCAGTAGCAGATGAAATTTGGTACCTACTTTAGGTTCAATTCGACTAGCTCAAATTTTGTTATCTTCAATTCTATAATATTCTTCTTCTATATATCTCCTCCGGATAACGACGGTTCTGGTGGATGTTCTTCCACGGTTGCGGTTGCATCCACTGACGTGTTTACTTTGGATATTGATGATTCTTATGGTTTTTTTCTCGATTGCGGCAGCAGGCAATGCAGCACTATCTGTAGTAGATGCGCCTTCATTTTTCCTTTCGGTCTCCTTAAAAGAGAACCAACGCATATAAGAGTATGGTTAGAAACTTTCCACAGATATATTAGAGTTGCAAAATGAAAAAGTTATTGCCTTCTGGAGTCCGTTCATTCGATTTGGCGTAGAGCAAATGACGGAATATTTTACATAATAGTTTAGACAAATTAAGCGTGGGTTCCACTTGCTTCTTGAATACATTTATACAGGTGTACCTACCTTATAATGTTTCTAAAAAATATGGAAAAAGCCATTAGTATATTGTTGTTAGATTTTCTTGGTTGGAAAATGGCAGTCCAGAATATCGTGGTTCCTAGGCTCCCTTTTGGAAAAGTTATAGACACGTTAGTGTCGTTGATAAAAACTTGAATTTCAACTGGACGCTAACAAAATTTCAGTTATATTTTTTAGGTTATGAATCAAAAATTCACTTTGATATTCTGTATTGGAATTATGAGAATACAGGAGGCTCGATAAATAATACGTTTCTGTGAAGTTCTTTTTTGTTTATGTTTTTCTCGTCGTTATATACTAATTGTAATATTTTGTATAAAAAAGAATTATTTGTTGGCAGTATCCACAACACTTACCACCACTGAAGTGTAGCTATCTCCAAAACATATTTTTCTCAACATCAATACTAGGTAATATAAATGAACGCATATCCAAAATTATTGCATGTTGCAAAATAACCTGTCGGTAATGTTTTTGCATAATAAAAGAGAAATTTAACGCTACAGCTTTTGTTCATGTTTATTTTTGTGCATTTTATTTTGCTATTTGCTTTACTTTTTTCACTTTGTTGTCAATTTATTTATTTTTAGATTAGACGCTGTGTGGAAGAAAAGAATCGGATTTCCTCCGTGTTATTCAAATATATATTGATAAAAAGAACTTAATATTATGCAGTGAGTGACCACTAGACAAGATATCCAGTTGCCTAATTGGGATAATGATAAGTTGAAAAGTTGCACGTTTCTAAGGAATGAAAGATTACAAACCCCAGATAAATTGCAAGTGTTTGTTCATGTTGGTAACGAAAACTTTTTTGTATGTCTGCATGTATGTATGTACGTACATACAGACATACACATAATGCGTATGTGTGCTATATGTTACGTGTACTCGTAGGTTTTCGTGTTGTTCTCTTTTGGTTTTTGCAGTCATATCCAGTGGTCAGTGGCATATATATTGAATGTGGACTCAACAGGAGCCTAACAAAAACATATCATGTCACCAAAAACATCAGATGGCCTATCGAAAATGTACCGCAAGGCATCACAGAGTGGAAAAGAACTTGTAGGTGAAATCCAAAAACACGTTTGTTTCGGAAAGGAACAACTTTTGCTCGTAAGAGCGAAATTTTAAATCAGAGAGGATGCCATTCTCCAAATTTTCGACACTCCTATGCTTTCTACTTCAAAAGTTGTTCCCTTCAGAAAAATACGGCGTGTTTTGGATTTTGCTGATAAGATTTTTTTCCACCCTGTAAAGTTTGGAGGAAAGTTTTCGATGGATGACCCTGTATATACATACAGCTGAATTGAACTTTTTATCTTTTCAACTTCAGTAAATTATTTTGATGATAAAGACCTTTAATGCATGTAGGGAATAATAATACGTATTATGAAAATATATATGCCGCTGGTCATGGGTTTGATAATTGAAAGTTCGTACACAACCACTTCAGAATATTTGGCATATTGGCATATTTTCTATTATTTTTTCAGGACCATTTTCAAAATAGAACGAAATATAAATTTTAAGATTTCTATCAATCCTAGGACTCATCACCGGTCTTTTTTAGGGATATTTCTCTCTAGAGATTTAAGAGTATTGATATTCATTAATTTTTTTTTAAATTGTTCAAAATTGGAGAGAAAATTAATGTGTAATACTTTTGGATACAGTTATCAGTCACTTGAACCATTTCCTGAAAAGAAATATATGAAAGACAGTGTTAGGTTTTGAAATCTCTTCTTACAGAAGGAACCTTTAATAATCTACGTTTTTTAAAAGAAAGAACTATTTTACCCATGAAAAATATGTACCCCACGAAGAGATGATGAATTGGGAGAAAATATGTTTGCAACTTGAAATAAAAACGACAGATATTATTTTTGTATGTTACTACAATATCTGTATCTGTATGTTTATGAGAAAATTGTTTTGACACCTTTTCAAACATCTACGTTATTTGGATATAAAAATATTTGGCAAAGAAATGAAATGTGTTGATGCCGGGTAATTAAAACTGATTCTTTTTGCAAATATATGCAATAACAAAATAACAGCAAAGGCTCCCCGGATTCGGATTTCAAATTAAATAACGTAACATTGTACATTTTTCTGATTTAAAGTTGCTTAAACTACCTATCTTCTCCAAATTCGTCATCCTAAGACTACCGAAATAACTAAACAACTCGCCAACTGAAATCCTGTTTTATTATTTTTTATTGAAATAATAATAACAATTGATACTATAGGCAGTAGATAGATTTTAAAGAATTACTTGTAAATGTAAAAATATCTACTTAATATGAGTGTATTTATACCTGAATATGTAGTTTAAACATTTAATTTATTGAAATTTACTATAAAAATTTTTATAATTTTTGTATACTTTTGTATGAATAAAAAATTTAAAATGAAATATATACTATTCGAATATTCGTCATCACCTTTGTCCACGAGAAAATTTCACCACTTTCAATTTCAACTTCATCCATTTCTAATCTACGTGTCCTCATTTTCCTTTGCCACTTTATTGAGAAACTCGTGTGCTTCAGCGTAATAAGGGTTGCACGCCTTTTCTACATTGTCAAGCCAACTTTTTATTCTTGGATAATCTTCCCTCGGATCATATCCACCAAACTCTAAGAGAATAAGATAATAAAATGTCAGTAATCGATAGAAAAAAATATTGATTATCAAGTATAACATATTCTAAATATCTGGAAAATATATCCAAATACAATCAAAGTAATGATATTTATGTATTCAAAATCCGTTCAATGATCATTTGAAATAAGTACATTAAAAATATATCAAATATCTATAAAACTCATTCGAAATCTTTCTGTATATTTTATTGATACAGTGATACAAAAACATTAAAAATATAAAATGCACTAAATAATATTGACCATGTTCACACGGCATCTCAAAGGAGTATTTCCAACAACTGATGTTAAAAAAACCAACGTTAATCTGCTTGAACACCGTTTCCGTTGAATGTTATCAAACCGATTCAATAACGCTCAATCTTTGGAAAGAGGATTTATTGAGTCGTGTAAATACGGTACGGTACGGTATAATAATTTAGTTGACTTGAAAATTCTCTAGTGTCGAGGAATGATAGCTAAAAATAAAGATAGGATAGGGCAGGGATCGATAAGTAGTTTTAGGTGGGGCCCGGATACTGCGGAAAATTTTTAATGAGGTCCAGAAAAAAACACTGATAATAAGTTATAATAAGTGCTACATATGTATTATTTTGGTTTCAAATCTAATTCTGAACTATAAAACAAGGCCTAAAATTAATGTGAGAAACTACACCGACGGTCTTAAGTCAGTTTTTCTGTCCATTCTGCTGCTACATCATTTTCAAATGGCGATTTAAGAAAAGGAGATAGCTTGCCCATCTTTGCAATGTCTTGGAATCTTGTAGCAAGTTCGTTTTCACTACAAAGCGTTTTACAAAAACCGCAACAAGTGTTTAGCTATACAATAACTTTCTCAAGCGTTAATAAATGCTTAACGCTTGAGAAAGCGTTAATAAATGCTTAACGCTTGAGAAAGCGTTAAGCATTTATTAAATGAAAATCATATAATACACTGTATTAATGAGTTTTAATATGGGTTTAAATCAAGTATCGGCCAGTTCTATTCAATGAGTAAATTATTGTCTTGCAATATCTTTTTCAAAGATATCCAGCTTGCGACGAAAACCAGACACACTTTGTCACATATCAGATCACATATTAATTTTATATTTTTTAAAAACTTTTCAGTTTTTAATTCAGTTCATTATTTCATAGTATACCTTATCTGCGTATAAATTTATACTTGGTATACAACACATTACAATATTTGGCGGTCCGAGGTTCAACCTTTCGTGGTCCGTAAACGGACCGCGGTCCGCTTATTGCTGACCGTTGGGATAGGGCCTCACTTACTTTTTGATTTATTAAAAACAAGGTAAGTCGTGGATGAAACTAAAACGGCAAAGATTTAGGTAATCAAACATTTTCTATGCAAGAAATGATTATTTGAAAACTGCCAAACATAATACTATGTTTTCCTCGCGGATTTGCCTATAATTGATTACACTGTACAATTAAACTGAACTTTATTTCTCTGATACACTGATAATACAACCAAACAATTCAACTGAGACTACAAACTTATATTCAAATGTCTATCGCCTTATTATATCACTTCGTACCGCACTGTCCACTAAACTTTTCGATCTGGGTGTGGGTAGCGTTTATGTGTAGTAACCTCAAAGCCGATAAGGAATTCGCTAGAAGTCTATCGTAGCGACGAGGCATCTAGAACAATCTCGAAGCGCGAGTCAAGTTGAGCGAGATCTTGGCCACGTCACAATTGATTTACGATGACCAGAGGCGGCCGGCCTAATTTTTTTTTCAGGGAATGATTTACAACAATATGCAAACGTTTCAGAACATTAAAAGGTAAAATGAAAGGGTTATATTTTAATGAGGGACTAGTTTTTGGGAAAGAAAGGTTTTTTTGCTCTCTACTTCTCCATCTCAATACAAAAAATTGAGAAACAAACTCTCGAAGAAAGGAAGAAAGCAATTTCGTTCAAAATAAACATTTTACAAAGATGTGTAGATCATGCATAGAAGTTACCTATAGATACAAACTGGAAAAAAAAAGAAAATTCATGAAGATATAGAACAATTTCGTTTCGTTTTAAAAAACGAAGAATTTCTGTAATACATTTTTCAGATTTTTCCCCTGCATATTTGGTGTTATAAATGTCGACATAATATGGTTCCAGAAAGAAAGTATTACCGCCACCGCGAAAGTATTTCCTCAAAATTTTCTATATTATAAGTAAAATAAAATTGATTCTCATTCACGAAGTTAGTCAAATGTATTCTGCTGGCAAAACTCCGGTTGTTATAACAATGGATGTTATATAGTCGTGTAAACGTAACTATCATACAAAATTTGCCTACTTTGCCATTTTTATACTTTTCCCACATTTATTTCATCGCAAAATCCATTCTAAACCACATAACTAGCATATTACAGTTTATGTCAATAATCGTATCGATATGACAGTATATATACATAAAAAATAGCCAGGCGAAAAGGTATTTAATTCTTGGAATACTGATACCTAACCTCGCATGAGGGAATTTATTTCAAGGAGTTTGCGAGAGAGAGTATGGGTTGAAAATAAAAGATGATCCTTCCATTTTTTGGTTTTCAACGAAGTTTGCCTTATATACTATCTGAAGTTCAGATTACAAATCAAAAAAAAAAAGTAGGGCACATGACCACTATTATGGAACTGGACCGGTAGAGTTCTAGGAATCAGAATGATATGTTCAAAAATGTGTTAAGATATGAAAGTGGAAGCTATTGTATATGCATTTTTGGTATATTTATTATAGGTCAAAACAATTTGTGAACTAGAATAGGTTGAATCCATAAGTACAGAAAGAGATTATTATCAGAGGGAAGTGACAGCTAAAGTGAAAGGCAGGAAATTAATCTTACTTGTCGATCGATGGCAAAGTTTGTTTTTGCAATGGACGGACTTTGAGAATTTCATTCATCTTTGGTTTGTTTTCTATCGATACCACAAGTGCCCCCTTTGCGAGGAGAGTTTTCATAACCTTTTCCTAGTCGTAGATAGTCTTGTTGAGGACAAAACTTGCATCTATAACTCGGTCAGCACTATTTCTGAGATCTATAATGTACTAAAACAGCTCTGTCTGGTATAAGATCATATATGTATGTGAATACTATTTCCCGGGTTTTTGGCCGTGATCTGCAGGTTTTTATGCCTGAAGTTTCGTCTACTACTGCTGCAGACATTATCAAAGTCATGTTTCAAAAGCGGTAAATACGATGCCTTGTATTTGACTTTTGTTGAATATTATTATTAGTGGGCTTGACTTAGTTTTTCTTAATTATTGGATTACCTTAGTTTGTTTGTGTACCTGTGAGGACAGGTAGTCAGATTTTATTAATTCCCTCTTCTTTTCTATTGCAATTTTCCCTGTTTTAGAATTTCTATCGCCGCTCTATACATCTCTGGCCGTGAAAGTTTACATTCTTTGATCACAAGAAATAATAAAAATACCTTTGTATTTTTTATATTCTTTAACATTCAGTAGTTAAACATACTCACTTGGTTGTTCTATTTCACATGCAGCATGGATATCCGAATATGATATTTGGTTACCATGAATGAAAAGACCATCTCCCAAAAACAGCTGATCAAAATCTGTAAGACTTTTCAAGAGAGCTTTTTTATCTCCTGAAACTTTCTCTTCTGTGGGGTGCACTCCTGTTTTCAGAGGAAGTATCCACTAAGAGAAAAAAGTGATAAAATGTTTAGAATACAAATCCATAAAAGTTGAAGTAATGTTAATAGTAATATAAAAAACGCAGAATGGGACGACCTCGTTCTAAACGTTTTTGTATCATCTTCAGTACTGTCACTGCTGGATATAATATAAAATTTCCGCACTTTGTAGTTAATTACATTTATAGTGAACAATACACAGAGTTTGAGAAAAAAATCATCAGAAAACTTAGTTCAAATAAGTGGAGATGATCCGAAAACTTATTGTATAAATTCAACAATTATTATTGACTTATCAAAAGTAGCCCAAAAAAATTGATATGCGATAATATTTTTCTACTCGCCCTAATAAAATGATACTGAATTGTAAAGTTGATTGATCGAAATTAATTTTTTTAACTCTGTCAAATTACCGAATAGTATATTTACCGTTGTTCGAAAAAATGTAAGACAGTTTAGTCTGAGATTCAAATGCTGCCATTCCAAAAATTCATCAGTTCTAGCTTGCTCTTTACTTTCTTTTGGATACCAGTGATCATCTATTGAGTATTCCCTTGCAAGATATCTCAAGATGCTAACGCTGAAAAAAAGTAAGAACATGACAGTACAAGTAAAAATGCAACCTAATTTCGTTTTACTGCCTTTCAACTTGTAATTTTGACTCCTTTTTTGCAATGTAATAACAAGTGACTAATAAGAGTCAATATTTGTTTAAAAAATGAAAGTTCAAGATATTCAATAACAATATTAAAATACTGGCTCACCTTTCGCAAAATTTTGGAACTGATAATATCCTGGTAAAATACAAAGCTAATTGTTTCAATATCGCAAGTAACAAAATAGTATTCAACTCCCCAAATATGTATCAGTATTTTTGTTGTTGCTTTTATCTAAATCAATATTTCAAAGAGAAAACCTTTGTTTGTTTGTGATGAATAGGAACTGTCGGGGAAGAACATAGTTGCTGCCACAAATTTGCTTGCCATTCCGATTTTATTTCTTTGGGGTAGTGAAATGGACTCGAGAGGAACTGCATCTACATAGGAGTTTTTATCCCAAATAGTACGTTCCACTGTTGTACTTCCCTCGACAACAAGAAGGCCGTGGACATAATGGTAATGGATGGAATCATCAGAAGTTCGGAACCCTCTGTCTGCATAGTCCGCGATTTTGTGAGAACAGATATTGGAGGAGTTGTCCGAGTAGCTGGTTTGGTTTTGACCGACAATTCTGTAACTGAGTTTGAACCTGTTCAGCCAAAAGTTCCATATAAAAGCCTCAGAGATCATTGCACTCCTGCGATATTGCTTTACCAACCAACTTTCGCTTCAATAATCAGGTCGAGTGGGGTGAAGTCGCTAACTAAGGGGTACATTATGTCCTGCCGAGATGGTGTCTCAAACATTTCAGTTTGCCGTAGTCGCGAGATAGGAACCTATAAAGGTTCGTGATAGGTGTAGGACCCGTCGCAAGTCGGCTTTTACGTTTTCAGAGACATATAACGCGGCACCTACGTCACGTTAACTGTATTGACCAGACACTGATGTTGCCCTACCCTCCAGAAAATATTGAATCCGTTGTAGTGAATGAGAAGTAGCTAATATGTCTGATGTAGTTTTTTTTCGACTAACAGAACAAGACGATATTCGTCGAGTTTTCAGCTCCGGGTGAAACGAATACCGTCCGAAATGAACAGAAAAACAGAATAGAATATCAAGATTACCTTCTTGCACTCCACAGACTCTAAACAGACCACTTTAATTATTGGAGTCATTGGTGCAATTGACGCCCTCTCTACTCGCGAATCTCATGATCAAGCCGGCGTGCTGCCCTATGGCAGAAATCTTGGCCAGACAAATGCAGTATTCTGTCATTCTTGGCTCATTGCGTCTTGTCAGGACACATTATCACTTATCCCACGGTGTGGGTCATTGGTTGGTGATACTGACGTGCAATGCCGAATATATCTGGGCTTAGAGAATAGGGCCAGTCCAGCGCAACTTACGGAAACTAATATCAATAATTTATTATTAAAATCTCATTCACCTACATTGATCTCGTTATTTACAATAATTTGAAGAAGATTTGCGCGTAACGATTTTACATTTATCTACTTTTGAAAAAATATTTTTTATACACGAAAAATGGAAAATATGTCAAAAATTGGTATAGTTATTTTGATATTTTTTATTTGGAGGAAGTGAAAGTGAAGAACTATAATGAGAATTTTTGAATCAGTCTTTGATTTTTCAAATAGATATTACCTAGTATGTTTCAATTTCAACTGTATGAATCAGCTGCTGACTGATTGTTGGAAATAGTAGCCCCACATCGGTAAAGTTTTCAACTACTTATTTATTGCTATGCTTTCTGCTTTAGATCTGTGGCAGCATCACCAGTGTTACCAATAAAGCGCAAAATGCTCGAAACCTGCGCATTTCATCATCTTTGCACATTACTTGCCGTTTTCAGTTTTTGTGCATTTTCTTTACATTTTGCACCCTGCAAAACGAATTTACCAAAACCACCTTGATAATGAGAAATTAGATGAGCTGAAAATGAAAAATCAGTGTTGCCAACAAGTTGCAAAATACGCAAAGTTTGCACGTTTTTTGTCTCTGAGCATTTGTTGCGCTAACTGGCTATGGCGGATTTTTAACGCGTTTTACGCGATCTGTAGTATATATTTTTTTTTCAAAAAAAATGGCCTTACTGTGCCTTCGAAAAAAAAGACAAAAAAATATAACAAATACCTTTCAATCCAACAGATCATTTACTGTTTTCAAACTCATAAACTGTAGGCTGCAGGTTTTCGTGCATGACGTTTCGCCTGCAACTGCGGAAAACATTATCAAAAACGATGCGTCAAGCCGAAAAGAGCAAATACTCTGTTAGATATCAAGCGAGGGAGCTTACACCCCACGATCATTTGATGTATTCGTTCATTTCTATCAATTTATTCATTAAGCTATATTTCGCAAAATTTCATTTCAGAGGTTTCTTCGAGTTTTGATTCAAGTTTGCGCCCATTTTTATATGAGTTTGTATTTCACGTTTCTCGTAACAAATTTTGCGCATTTTTGACAACCTCGCGCAAAACAACCTTATTGGGTTGGCAACACTGTATTTCACTGAACCACAACTGCACTTGAAGGTAAGTTCAATTAACAGTTGGCTTTCAATTATTTCGTTGTCCCCTGTATATTTTGAATTTAGAGATATACAGATACAAATACAGAGGATATTTGAAGGTTGATGGAATGAAGATAAGGTATTATTGTTTGTTGAACAAATATAGAAGTAGCCTGGCATTGTTTAATGTTGTGATCCTGAAAACGCAAATCATCATGAAAAATATATTTAGAATCACACTGGTTTCAATTTTCATTCTCAACATGAAAAGTAATTATTTCAAAAGGCCTAGGGTATTAAGCCACGAATATTAATGTTTTTTATAGTTAGATATATAGAGAAGGTCAATAAAAACTTGTATCAAGTAGGTACCTTACCTTTCCGTCAGTCTGAAATTTCCATCATGAATAACAGGTACTTTCTGAAATTTCGAACATTTCTCTTTGAAATCCTCGGACAATTGCTCTCCTGAAATGATTATACGAGTAATGGCGGTACTGTAAATCAAATTGTAGTACTGCAGCATTTGGTATGGAGTTAATTTATCCACAATTTGTGAAAAAACTTGTGTGATACTAATTTCATGATATACCACGTCTCTTTCGAAGATACATTTTCACTGATATGAAATTAGATTTTCAAAATGGGAAAGTAGAAATTATTTTTCGACTAGAATGAAAATGCAATATTCGGTTTTCTACACAAAAGAAGTTTTATTTAATATTTCACAAATTGAGTGGACATACTTGGAGACTGGCTGTAAATCAAATTATCTAGAAGAAAAATTCATTCAGGCCAGTTTCAAATTACCTACACTGTAGGTTAATGAACCGACACCTATCAGAAAACAACCACTCCCTTGGCTAATACCATGAAATGCTTTGGATTATATCCGACTGGTGTCACTGGAGGATTCTTCACTGAAGGTATTCCTGCATATGCTGTTGACGATACAACTGCCGGAATTGATGTCTAGAACACACAGGTGTCACCCACACCTGTTGGATATAATCCAACAGTCTTCGTGGTATTAGCCAGGGTAGTAGTTGTTTTCTGATAGGTGTCAGTCCATTAACCTACAGTGTAGGTAATTTGAGACTGACCTGAACGAATTCTTTTATATAATATTCAATGAGCAAATGGGTATAACTCACTCCAACGAAAAAGCTATTGAATATACAAATTTAGGAGTAATATGAAATGAATCCACCAACACCAACATACAAACCTTTGAGTAAATTAACAGGATATGCTTGAAAAGGTGTATTCGTTAATTTTAAAAGTATATATAAAGATCTGCAAGGTTGTGATATAAAGTCATAGTAAAATTTCAGTACCATTATTGATTTATTTCAAAATCAAATTACCCACTGCTAAAAAACTGAAAACTCAATAAACTGACAAAAAATGTGTCCAACTACTAGATCTACCAGTCAACTGATAAAATAATAGCACAGAATGAATACAACCCCGTAATCTGTAATAAGTTAGCCTATAAGATAATACCATAAACTAAATAATTAATAATAGTCACTGTCTGACGTTTATGATATGCAGTCAACCATAGAACACTGAAACCAGAGAGAAATGTATTAACCATTCCGACGCGACCTCTGTCGAAAATATTAGTAGTACAGCAAAAAGTGGGGTAATTATTTGGATACTTACCTTTTATTGAAAAAATGTTTTAGACTCACAAATTTTTATCTGCCGATCACGAATCTAAAGTCAAACGAGGCGCTCCGGTCTACTTTCGGAGATATGACCATCCAAAAGTGATTTTCTCAAAATTTTATATTTTCAAGAAACATATAATAGATTTTGATAGTAAATGTCATTTATACAAGGGCTTTTTGGGCGTTTCAAAATCAATGAAAAAACAAAAATGGATGCGCTGTTGTCATATTTATATAATATAAGAAATGTCGCCTTCTTTTTGGTCATTCAAAATGTTCCTTCAATAATTTGAAAGAAGGGTGATGAATAAACATGTACTTTTTGTTTGGACAGATCTGACACTGAAAAACAACAAATAGACCCAACTTATTAATTCAGCCTTCTTTTCCTGTCACTCAAAATGTGTTTTTGTAATTTTTAGAAGGAGCCTGAGCCACATGCTAAATATAACAACAATAACTGTTCTTCATGGATAAATGTCTTCGAAAATGTTTTAGAGGCTTTACGTTATCCAATCCAATTTTTTGCCTTTGTTCAAAGGTTGATAATTGTTTCATTCTCTTATATTCATTCGGTATTTCATTATAAAGATATAATATATTCAACAGAGCTGAACATACAATTCTAGTGCAAAGTAACACATGTAAATACCAGGATCAAATTGAAGACAATTAAGAATGATTTTATACTTGAAATTTTTCAGTGGAAACTGATTATGTGTCATTAATTCAAGAAATGTGGCCATTACTTGTGAGAATGAAGTTTGTCGACACGACTCGAAGGCGAACCTTGCAAATCGTTCAAGCGAGTAATGACAAGTAGAATACTATACTTTCTCTATGACATAATTGGAATATCTTAAAATGAGGTTCATTTGTTAAAAAAATCCTGAATGAGAGAAATACCATTAAATATCATAACAGGAGGCAACCTGCAAATGAAACGAAAATTAAAACTCTGCTTTACTTTGCTGAGCTTCCGCTTGTTTTTTCTTTAAATAAAATTTCAATATCATACAGGAGTAAAAAGGAGTAGAAGCATTTTTCTCAGAGGTGCCAGCATAGTTCAATTTCGTCAAAAAGGATAGTACCTTTATTCAAATTATTCTCGAACAAAACTGCAACTCTCTTCTCGACGGTCCTTCTAACAACCAAGTTAGCGTCAGCGGGAGATGAACAATAAGATTCAAATCAAGTCCCAGACAGACAGAGGTTCCAGTTCTACTTTTCAGCTATTCACGGTGGTTAATACATTAGGGAAGTGAATTGTATTTTTAATAACTCTTAAAAATATTGTATACTTTTTCAAAAGATGTTGTAAATTATCTTCCAAAAAATAACTGAAGACTATGCTTGTCTTCTCCGACCGACTGTGATCTGGTCAAGGTGGCGCTCAGCCCCACTTGTGTCTCTCTAAATTTTTGGAACGCTGCATCTATTGAAGAGTTTTTCCACTGGCTTCCAGGGAGTTCCATGGTGTTGTATAAGACAGTCAATATAGTTGGAACATTATAGTGCGAATTAGGCTAATAAGCACTTCTTTCAAATACAAACTGGAAGAACATTAAATTACACAAAAATTACTTTTTACCATTTCGGAGACTCAAAATCATACTGTTATGAAAGAAATGAGTGCTTCATTTTGTACTTGTCCCAAAACTTCGAAGTATACCATTGAGGATGATATTATTCCTTCTATGTGATATTTTTTGTCAATACTCTTGCCTATATCATGTGTAGCATTCATAAGGGTGATAGCTGTACAAATTAAATTGCAAATAGTGCTTTCCAAGTAATTCAACGTTCATGTGAAAGTAGTTATTTCGAAATAGTTTTTTCTTGAAGTTGGTATCTGAAAGAAACTTCTGTGAAAGATCTACATATCTTGCTGAAGAGTTATTGTAGTTTGCGGGAAGTTTCCCGCATTTTTTGTCTAATGATAAAGAAATAGAAAATACAAAAGATTTCTTTTCAAACACATTAATTTTGGAGAGCTCAATTTCATTTTTCCAAAACGCTATGATATATTGGCAGAGACGAAGTTCATATTTGTTCAATTAATGGATTTTCCACGTTATCATAAATACATTTCAGTCAGATAATCAGCAAGCAACGGCACTGAAATGACAGTCAAGAATGCTTTGAATACTGTATAAAGACAACATAAAAATGCTTTCGATGGGAGATACTTTATTTCGAAATTATATACAGAAAAGAAATATTCACAATTCTACTTGAATACGATAATCGATAATATATGTATATGCATGTCAAATACATAAGAATACATGAAAAGTTGTGCACCATGCAGTACCAAGCAAGCAGTAAACCAATATATCAATCAATTTCATAATGAATTAAATGTAAAAGCTGGTTCTTGCAGAACCTTTTCAAATCTTTAACCACCGACTCAAAATTATCTTGAGTGATGTTTTTTTTCAATTTTTGCCATGTTATGTATGTTAGGAAAACACCGCCTGAGAAAGTAAGAAATGACCGAGTACAGTTAATTCAAACTTTAAAAAAACAAGTTGGTCACAAGGCAGTAATACCTAGAAGAATACCACTGCTAGCCAGACAACACTGGATATCCTGTAGATATTCAATTCAGGTAGGAATATATTCAGACATGAAATGGATGTTCATAACATATTCCTCAGTGAACTTGTAATGAATATCCCTAAGGTATCCTTTGGACATAAATTGGACTATTAATGAATATTCATCATATGTCCTGGTGTTGTCTGAGTAAAAGACATCCTTCTGAGTAGATGAAGAGTAGAGGGAGATAGAGGAGCCGCCATTTTCACATATAACTGCAAATTCGTAAGACATTTCATTTGTCCACATTATGGGGCTATGCGTCATGTTCCGTTCTTGCTATCATTACGGACTACAGTACTTTGTGTGTTGAAAACAGAGAAATAAAGTCTGAAATTTAGTTCTATGATTGAGAAGAATATTGAACAAAAGATTACTTCCTTATATATTTCATACAGCATTTCATCAGTATGTTCAATAATTTGAAAACTTTTTCTTATTATGTATTCTTTAGTATCCCCTAGGATGGAATATTAAAAAATAACTTGGTATGTTGCATATCTTTTACAATTATCTCGACAGATGACGTTGATATGTAAAAATGTCGACCTGTTAGTCATGTTCCTCTATTCGTATATTTTATGTTTATTTATATGCAACATGGTTTATCCAATTAGAGGATAAAACCTACTGAAACATCAAAACCAGCCACGAAATCAACCGGGAAAGAAACTAATAAAAAAACCTTTCAAATATTTATTCAATCATAAAATAAAAGAATTGGAACGGAAATACAACGCGAGTATTGAGAAAACTTACCAAGAAACACCTTATATACACAAAATTTGGAATATTAAACAACAAATATCAACAAAATAAAATCAGCTGTTGCTACTTTATTTAGCTGTGCATAAGCTACTTAGAAATAGTTTATCTACTTATGGAGAAATCTACCCGAAAACTAGTGAGAATAACTTCAAATCAGAGACTCACCAGTTGTGATCGTTCAGGTCTTTTCGTCGTCGGAATTATTTTAATAATAGCCTCATAAAAACTAAGACAACCAATTCTCCGCTTATGAAATATAATTATCAATGTCAATTACACGAGGTTCCTCACACCTTGTCCATCAACTCAATAGCAGAATTTCAATATTTATATTAAAAAAATCATTTTCTGTTGCCGCAATCAATAAAGCGAGTTTTTCAAGAATCAACACCGGGAAATTATGTAACCGCCATGATATGAATCATTTAGAATCACTGAACAATTCCGTGTTCTATGAATCAGCATGTAATTTCAATTGTTATGATAACAGTTCAGATGTTCTAAGTGTCTAGATTGAACTTTTTCAAACGCTGTCATGACAGTTGAAAGCTTTCAAGATATTGTGTCACTTTACCAACGTCTCCTTTTAGAATTGATGCACTGGCGAAAAATGTTTCCAAGTCAACTGTGAACCTCAAGACTCATCGAGGAAAGGAAACAAAAACACTAATAATAACGGAACTCCAACTTTTTTCGGCTATGCTTTGGAATCTATGTTATGAAGCATCTAATTGTTTATTGATGTGGTTTCACTCTAAAAATTTCACCGGAATATCACATGGAAACATAAAAGTTATACAAATACCGCATTCGGTTTCTATAAAACATATTCAACAAAGTAAAAACTAAACGTGAAACTCCTAGAGTGCTCGTTTTTTAAATTAACAAAAAAATATACGTTATTTCTTAAATAAATTGTGTTAAATAACTTTATTAAATAAACTATTTAAATGGATTGGAATGTACTTGGCTGGATATTTTCCGAACACAATTACAATATAATGGTTTCCATACAATCTTTTCAGCCAAGCACAAAAACTATAATTTTCATTTAAGTTAAAGATCAACTATGCACATCGATTGATTGCAAAAGAATCGCAGATTTCCCAGTAACTCAGAACAGACAGTTCTGACCCGCATGGAATATTGAGGTTTGTTACTCTTCGTTTAGCGACACTCCCACACTTTGACAGTCTGATCCACACTGCCAGAGATGATGTAAGGATGAGACTTATGGAAATCTAAAAAAAAAACGAAATTTCACTTTGTTTGATTTTCAGTTCAAACACCAGTAACGTTTCATATACATATACAATACCCTACAAGAGGCATCGATCATAACATATTTCCAAAGACTTTATATTTATGCTTTTATTTATACTTATATTCTTGACTTATATTTCATAGTAGATGAATATTATCTCTGATCAAGGCTTTCTGCATTTGTGACTTGCCATAAATGTCATAAATGTACTGTATGTAAAATGGTCAAATAAAGTACTCATTTTGTTGACACGATTTGATATGACATCTTTGGAAAATAGGAGGTTATCCTTGGTATATAATTCCTGCATAAATTACTTAACAACAATATTAACAGTATGGTTCTTTTACCCGAGATCAATTTCTTAGTACCAAGAAGTGAAGGTTGACACAATCTGAAATTCTATTGTAAAGCATCACACACAGATGTTATGCTACGATCACCATTGAATTTTATGTGCAGTTGTTTCAATAAAATCTGTGAACATTGTGATATTCATTTCGACTCTCTGAACGCCTTGGTATCATGTATCCACAATCACTTTTAATAATACTATAAATAACATTTGTGTCAGTACTGCTACATTGCATGATTTGTAACTTTTTGTGTTATGTACTCAATTTTTCCTTCCTCTTTTCAAATTCTACGTATATGAATATTTTATACAATGCCTTCATTTCAAAACTTCCCACCCCTAGTAATTCGTTTAGCAGGGAGAATTTGCCATAAGAAAAAAACACGTCAATTTAGATATTGAGGAGGAAGTTTAAAGCCAGTGGTATTTTAGGTTCAACCCCCTTACACCTAGCTACCCCCACTTAATAATTTTAAATGGAACCCCCCACTATCTTGTGAGGATATTTAACCACTTGGCTATGCAACTGACTGCCTTGGGGAGCCTCGTTTATCTTTGATATTCAAGGTTTAAGTTATCTGTCAATCCCATAAATGGCGACTTCAAAAGAGAGATGTCATCGCCCTCACTTTTGCTCATGACTGTTACCACTAAAAATCCAAGAAAGTATTCTTCATTTCTGTGTTTAGTACCTAATTCTCAAAAATATATGAAAAGAAACCATTTTTCAATGCATCCACCATGCAAAAGAGTTCTAATGATTTGTGTTAGAATATGAAAACATGCAGAAAAAATCACATTTATGTATTGAAAATATGTAAGCAGGAGAGCTAATATTTTGGTGAGTTTAAAATAGTTTTGTGGATAGTATTTCTAAAAAACTTGCTGTTCAGGTTCCTGATGATGGAATTAATAAACTCTGAAACATTACCAAGTAAGCAATAATTTTTCCATTAATCAAACCGATTCCTATCTGAACCAATTCATCCATAAAATAAATGTTGGATCACTCAACCATTTTAGTATTTACAATCTTAGAAATCAAAATAATATATATTGAATAACTCACCTAAGGATGTGCAAAAATGTTTGTGTGCCTCCAGAGTTTTCATACAACGTTTATTTCTCAAATCCCATACTCGCAAGGTTTTATCGTCACTGGCCGAAACCAAAAATTTGCCGCCAGGATGGAATACAAGTCCTCGAACCCAATTGTCGTGCGCTACGAGAACAAATAAAGCTACTCCAGCTCCCACATCCCATATCCTGCAATGAAAATTATATTCAAATATGACACGAGAATATAGTCAACACAATTGAAAACTTGGACTTCATTTCAAGAGACTGCTGATCACCTATTCTCAATTTATTTTCTGCATAATCATGTAGGACGAATATGGGTTATTTCAATTGTTTATTTTTCTATCGTTATTAAAAACATGTATGGTATCATATAAATTCGATTCAAAATATATATAGGGTTACAAAGTAAGTAGATATCTCGGGTTTGGAGAGTCTGACTCCCATTTTTTTATGTTAGTCATGCCCCCGAAGTATGATAAAATTTTCAGCTGTATATTGTTCACTTTGTCTGTGGCAGCCGCTAATGTATGACGTGTTTTGAAGATAAAATAAAAATGTAGATTTTCACAGCTAGCGTCAATGTTTTGGATGGTTTCCGGATTTTGCCCGTGTCTTCTTTGGTTATAATCTCCAAACGTTTCGACTGCAACTGCGTCAGTTATCTTCAGTGGCAGGTTCAAAGTACTCTTCTTGATGTTCAGTTGACACGTCAAGACGAGTACTTCGACCACGCCACTGAAGATGACAGCCGCAGTTGCAGTCGAAACATTTGGCAAAACCCAGACAAAATAATAGACAAAATAGACAAAATAATTTGTGTCAAACTTTGCATACAAATTGAAACAAATTACAACAAAATGTATTAAATGACAAAGATAGTGAAAATCTGCTATGAGTAAAACAATAGTTTACGAGTGGTATAAGCATTTCCAACATGCTGGGTTGCCCAGCAGATCAACAACAGATGAAACTTGGAAAAAGTCAAAGAAGCGGTTATCAACACAGAGATTCTCTTATTCAAATTTACTACAAATAGGATAATTTAATCCTGGTGGACAACATTTCTTGGTGGATATTCATAAATCCGGAGAGCCAATTTCCAAAAACTCACCTAATAGTCTTATCTCTAGATCCGGATGCAAGGAAAGGTCCCATGTGAGCACCCTTTTTATTATCTACGCCTGCAGCTTCATTTATAGCATTAGCTGCCGAATCAGGGGCCCAAGATATACACTCGACAACATGATCATGTGCCCTCAATTCTGATCTGCATTCTTTTGACGAAACTACCCACACTCTCACTGTCTGATCATTAGAACAGCTCGCCAATAACGTGCCATCTGGTGAGGCTCTCACCATTCTAACCTGAAAAAAAAAAAATGTATATACTGAGGAATCGTTTCCGTTCAAGTAACTTTTCCAGTGATATTATGATAAACTATATATAAAATCGTTTAATTTAAAAAAATGTCTTTGGTTAATATTTCTTTTATAACTGAGACAAAAGATTCTTTTGACTTAGCAACAATGTAAGCTCATATATTGAAGAAATAGAAATTTTTAATCAAAAGGTGCTTGTACAATCGAGATGTCACACGCTAAACTTCTTTTGCCTAATAAAAACATACCCTCACTTCTAGAATAAAAGTTTCAAATTGGTCAAAGGAACTCTATTTCCATAAGAGACGAAGCTCTGTAAAATATCCCGTTTTAGCTCGCAACTTGAGCTGTTCAAATATTCATTTATAGAGAGATTTTTAGTGTAGTCACAGAATAAGGAACTGTATAGAAGCGGAAGCCAAGAAAATTTTGGGAATAGCAACATCTTTACTAATTAGTTTACCAATGAGAGCCAAAGTATTCTCTCTCGCTGTACCAAATATTCAATCACTTCTAATTCATTACATAAAATTTCTTCCAGCCTGGGTAATTTACCAACAAGATGAGACATTTTCTCTCTCTATGGTCTTATTCAGTATTATTGTTGTTCAACAGCTGATCTTATTTTCATAGAGTTGTCATATGGATCAAAGCAGCTGGCAGAAAATATTTACTAGACAGAAGAACAGAGGACTACAAAAAAACTTCAAATTTGCGAGTTAGATTCTGACAATAAAATATGTTCATTTCCAGATGTATGTAGGTATTTGAGAATTTTTATTATATTAAAAAAAAAAGAGAAAAGTTTTTTCAATCTATTTGTATTAGGGTTGAGGTAGAGAGTATTAAATTTTGAGATTTTTTGGAGCAATGTGTATATATTTGACAGAAATCAACTGATACACGAAAAAGATTGAAAGGGTATATCTAAAACAATTTCCCTCCTGTCTATACAGAGCAATTCTTTAATTTTTTGAACGGGCCAACTCAAAAAATTGAAATTTGGGATAATGAAATTAATGCATGAATACTTTATTTTGA